AGGAAGGAGGGCAGTTTGAGTTGGGGTCCCAGCATGGGCAAAGAAAGGCCAATTTCCTTCCTCTGGTAGTAAGTACCCGCCAGTGAGCAGCGCGAGGGACCGGAGTCGCTATGCCGCCGTGTTCCAGGACCAGCACGCAGAGTTCTCGGAGCTCCAGCACCACGTGGGCGTCACGCAGGCCAAGCTCCAGCAGCTGGAGGCCCTGCTGAAGTCACTGCCCCCACCACGAAGCCAGGTCAGCCCCGGGGCCGCCTCTGCCGGGTGGGCACTGCCATCGCAGCCATGTCCTCTCCTCCCCTCCCTCCTGAGTCCCTTCCCCACTTTGCCCTTTCAGAAGGAGGCTCACGTGGCAGCTCGGGTCCGGAGAGAGTTTGAGAAGAAGCGGGCGGTGAGTGGGGAGCTTTGTCTGGTGGCCTCTGGTCCTGTCCTGAGACAGACCGTGTAATGAAAGCTGAAATTTATAAAGAAAGGAGCTGAACATCTTGAGGAACTCAGGTTAGAGTGTCAAGAGGACTTCCTCAACTCTTGTTCCCCCAGGATCCTGGCTTCCTGGATAAGCAGGCTCGCTGTCACTACCTGAAGGGCAAACTGAGGCACCTCAAGGCCCAGATCCGAAAATTCGATGATCAAGGGGACAGTGATAGCCAGGATTCAGTCTACTTCTGAGTGTCCTGGAGACGGTGGTGGCTTCTCCTCCTCCCATGGGGAACCAAGTCCTGTTGAGAGTCCCAGAGAATAAACATGGATTAGGCACCTACTGTGTTTAGTTGTCTATTTTGTTGAATTTCTCAAAGAACCAACTCTGTCTCATTGATTCTTTGCTTTGTTTTGTTGGTTTCTATTTTATTGATTTCATCCCTCAATTTGACTATTTCTTGCCGTCTACTCCTTCTGGGTGAGTTTGCTTCTTTTTGTTCTAGTGCTTTCAGTTGTTCTGTTAATTCACTAGTGTGGGATTTTTCCAGCATGTAGGCATTTAGTGTTATGAACTTTCCTCTCAGCACTTTCATTGTGTCCCATAACTTTGGGCATGTTGTGAGGTCATTTTTATTAAATTTTAGGAAATCTTGCCGGGTGTTGGTGGCGCACGCCTTTAATCCCAGCACTGGGGAGACTGAGGCAGGCGGATCTCTGTGAGTTCGAGGCCAGCCTGGTCTACAAAGCGAGTGCCAGGATAGGCTCCAAAGCAATACATAGAAACCCTGTCTTGAAAAACCCAAAAATAAATAAATAAATAAATAAATAAATTTTAGGAAATCTTTCATTTCTTTATTTTTTCCTTGACCCAGTGGTGGTTCAGTTGACCACTGTTCAATTTCCATTTGTGTGCTTTCTGAAAATAATGTTTCTGTTGAATTCTAACTTAGAGTTGTGGTGATCCATAGGTTTGCTTTGTTACCAAGTATGTGGTCTATTTTAGAGAAGGTTCCATGAGGTGCTAAGAAGGTGTATTCTCTTGTGTTTGTTCTATAGGTGTCTGTCAAGTCCATTTGAGTGTTCAGCTGTCTAAAAGCATTCCTTCCTCTTAGTGGGAAATGAGGTTCAGAGACTGGAACCTGTCCAAGGTTACAGGTGGGGGCAGATCCCAGTGTCCTGGGGGTATAAACAGAAGGCATAAGCTGGGGATGGCCTGGGCTACATGGTAACTGTCCCAAACCAACCATTTCTGTAAGCCTTATGATGGAGACATGCCAGGTGGGTAACCCAAACCCTTTGTCTAAGGCTTCCAAGCAGTGCTTGGTACCTGTGTGCAGGGGGTCCTCCCTTTACCTAGCCTTGGTGGAGTCAGAGCGGTGCTGCACAGATGTTAGGCTGCATGTCCGAGTCCGAGACCCTAACCACCTGAGCCACAGAGGACAAAAGCTGGGCCAGTTCCAGGCCAGGAGTCCAGTCCTGGCTACTAGGACAGTCAAGTTACTCCCTGGTCCCGGAACAAGCTCAAAACCAGCCAGGCCCAGATGTCTTCCAACAGAAAGGGCCACATGTGTGGGGTTTTATAGGAAAAGTAGTTCAGCTGGAGACTGAACACGAGGCCTGCCAAGCATAGATCTGGTGCTCAATCCCACCCTGAAATTGGACCCCTAACTCCTGGGTACTTTTCTCTCTTGTTGTTTCTTGTATAGCTCTGGCTGTCCAGGAACTCAGTCTGTAGACCAGGCTGGCCTCAAACTCACAGAGACCATGTGCCTCTGCCTTCCAAGTGCTGGGATTTAAAGGTGTACACCACCACTCCGCAGTTCATCACCACACATCAACAGTTAAGGGAATATCTTTATTATTGGCCATGATTTCATCATCTCATAGTGCCCATCATGGGCCATGTATCCAGGGGACTCTCCCAGCACACCATAGCCCTGCCCAGCTGCAGTGGCCCTTCCCATCACACCAGGGTCACCACCACATTGGCTCCTCAGCCCCACTCTGAGCAGGGGCTGCTGGGAGGACAAGGCTGTGGCCTGTGAGAGCAAATTCTTTTTGGTTTCATGATTATTTAAAAAACAAAACAGACAAACATTTCACAGTCTTTTAAAAAAGAATCAGTCTCAGAGTCCCTACAAGGTCCCAGCATCCGTGTGTGTCCTGGATGATATCCATCACTAGCCCGAGCCATAAGGCCAGTTGAAGGTGCTCCCTGACAGTAGCATGTCCCGGATGAGCGTCTCGATGGGTGTCTTGCCAACCAGGCGCATGAAGAAAAGCTGGGAGATGAGGGAGGCTGGCACAGCGCGTAGGGCCGGCAGTCGCAGCAGCAGGCGCCCAAAGCGCTGAGGCTGCGATGGGTACTGGGCACGCACGTACTCGGTGAGGGCCACCTGTGCCTTCTCCTGCAGGCTCTCCACATGGGCTGGGTCAGAAAGGCCACAAGCATCTGCAGGAGGCAGGGACGACAGTCACGTTCGGGGAAGCAGGGAGAGGGGCAAGGATGCCCCCGGAGGAAGTCATAAGCAGAGGTGGTCCCCGAGGGCAGGAATGGGAGTATCTAAGCCAGGGTCTGCCACAGACAAGCCAGGTAGAAGGGAGGGCACAGGCTCAGGGAGTGGCGCCAAAGTGCAGAACCTCCTCAAGGACAGTTACTAAGGCAGGGCCAGCCCCGCCCTGTAGGAGGGGCCCCAAGCCACGCCCACCGGAGGAGCAGGATCAGTGGGCTTTAGTCATGCCCGGGAACTCACTAGTCTCTTGTCACGGTCTACCAAAGGGCTGAGATGATTTGATGAGGTCCTGGGAACCAGTAACAGGTCCTATCTCGGGGTCTCTAAAGAGCACTGCCTGCATGGCCCTCTCTGCCCTTCCCAACCCTGGAGGGTAAGTCATGGAGGGAGTGGCCCTTCAGGTGTGGCCTAGGGTAAAGCCCAGGATCATTATCTGCGTCCTCCACCCAAGGGGACGAGTGCAGTACTAGGGGCACAGAGTGCATGCCCTGTGGGGCATGGCCCCAGAACAGGCGGGAGCCCAGAGGGCTGCCCATGGGTGTGGCCTGGAGTTTGGCTGCACTGTAGCTTCCAGAAGGCTTCAGAGTACAGTAGGGTACAGTCTGGATAAGTTGGGGGGCAAGATGGGGCCACATCAGAAGGACAAGCAGCACCGCCTGGAGTCGTGTCAGCAGACACTTGGGGTGAGGCCTGTGGCGGGGTTAGGCCAAAGCATGGCTGGGCAGAGGCAGGTACGTCACCTGTGTCCTACGGGTGTGACCTGAAGCAGTGTTGGGGACTGGCCCAGGTAGGTTAGTGTCACCTGACAGGGAAGGGCGCGCCCTCGGCGGGTTAGGGGTTAGGGGCAGGGAGTTAGCCTGTAGTGAGTGCAACCTGCCAGCCAGGAGAGGCCTGGGTCAGTGTTGGGGCAATATCCGGGAC